CTATGTAGGTAGAGAAAAGATGAGTCTGTTTAACAAAAGAATTAAGGAACTAGTTTGGTTTTGTCAAAGTTTCTGAAGATGGATTCATCCATGACCAAGGTTTTGAAAGCACTGAACTACTTGGTTAGCTATGTGTCAAGACTGGATCCTTCTGGTGTAGAAAAGGAAAGCTTCAGAGACAAAGGAAAGCTTCAGAGACTGCTGAAGGAGACTCCACGTAGGAGAAACTTGATCTCCCGCCTGGAGCTGGAGTCTGAGGCCACTGCCCCTTCCAACACCTTCGGGACCGCAATGAACAGTCTCGTTCATCTTGGGGTAGCGCTTGGTATGGTGGTTGTGAGCATGGAGCTCAGCACTGGGCAGGCCTGGGTTTGAATCCCAGCTCCGTAACCTCCCAGGACTGCCATCTGGGCAGATTATTGAACTTCTCTATAGCTTAGTTTCTTATCCTATTTATTTATTTTTTTTGAGGAAGATTAGCCCTGAGCTAACATCTGCCACCAATCCTCTTCTTTTTGCTGAGGAAGACTGGCCCTGAGCTAACAGCCATGCCCATCTTCCTCTACTTTACATGTGGGACCCCTGCCACAGCATGGCTTGCCAAGCGATGCTTAGGTCTGCACCTGGGATCCGAAACGGTGAACCCCACCCAGGCTGCTGAAGTGGAACGTGCAAACTTAACCGCTGTGCCACCGGGCCGGCCCAGTTTCTTATCTTTAAAATGAGGATGACAGTGGTCCCCAACTCCTAGGGCTGTTGGGAAGCTTTAAATGAGATGATATACAACACACACAATACCTGATGTATGGTAAAGACTTAAGAAACTTAATAAGTGGTTGCTGCTATGATGATGATTATTAGCCACTGCCGTTAGTGAGTTTGAATTTTTTTTTTTCAAATTGTGGGATGATTGAAGAAAGCTCGCTCAGCACAAACTCTTCCTGGAACTTGTCTGTTGGGTCACACGCACGTCACGCCAACACCCCCCCCCCCCCATTTTTCCTGGGAGCTTTGCCAAGTCCTAAGCCAGGAAACCTTGTTATATTAATTATGAAGAAAAAGCATGTTTTATTTAAAATCCCGGCTGCCGAATATTCTGCCATGCTGTTTCTCTGTGACAGCAGAATTGCTTTTGCATTTAGGGAACACTAATGAATTTAAAATATAAATATATCTGTGCCTATATACACATGCAATTTCCTGTGACCTGTTCCCTAAATACCAGTGTACCCTGCCGAAGCTAATGAGTCAGACACGTGCTTAGGATCAGATTTTCTTTTAAAAAAATCCATAAGGAGGAGTGGTGACATTCAGTCCCTCTTTTTTCCATATGATTCCATGTGGGTTACAGCTGAGGGAGGGACGTCTCCCAGGCCTGAAAGAGACTCTGACAGTCTGGAGCATCTAGGTTTTGAAAAGGGTGGCTGGCATCCTCCCATCAAAGGCCTTTTTGGTCCCAAGGGCTGGGCAGATTTTGATGCTCGAATTAACCAGACACTGAGCCCAGTTACTTGACCATCCAAAGTCGGCTCCAATGCTTCAGCATCCACAATGTTTCTGAAGAATAACCAGACAAGGTTGCACTGTCTCTTTCTGTCTGTCTCTGTCTCTCTGACTCTGTCTTGCTCTCTGTTTCTCTCTTTCTAGGATAGAACCAGGCAGATAATGTACATCTATCAAGCAGAAAGGGTGTCAGAAGTAGAGAATGGTGAGACCTGTGTGACCAGAGTGGCTTAAGCTTCTTCTCCTAACGGGAGCAGGGGATCCCCCCTCCTTGGTGCCATGCAGCAATGTGAACCCCGTGTTACTAGAATGTCTGATTTTCAAGAAAAGCTGGGGATCTGTGTTTTTATGTGAAATGTGCTGATTTTCAAATGTTGCCAAACAATTAAAAGGAAATTAAAATACTCTTCAGGCTGCCCTTCTACCCACCAAACAACACTTGGGCTGTGAGCGGAATGTACCCCAAGCTGCCAATTTGCGACCTCCAGTCTGTGCAAATATTTTTGAGGCTCTCGCCCTGGGAGCATTCTAGAGTTCTAGAGTCCTTGGGTTTAAACTCTAGGGTTGAAAAAGCCCAGAAATGAGAGCAACAAGCATTTTACTTGTAAGGCCCTTTGTTGGGGAGAGAAGCCATTGTCTTCCCTCCTCTCTGGGGATGGGCCGAGATAAGCAGGGCAGGCCTGACCAGCCTTGTCCTCTGGCTTCTGACCCCGAAAGAGGTCAAATTCCATTATGGCCGAGCCCAGTGGCACCCCAAGTCACCCTAAGAACCGCAGCAGGAAGAGATTTCTAAGTCTGGGGACATTGCACGTCCCTCATCCAGTTGAGCAGGTCTCCTGTAATGGGCAAGGAGTTGGATGGACCTTCTCGACCCTGGCTGAGAAGTTAGTTTAACATCTCTGGGCTTGATTCTCAAGCATAAAACAGGGATAACAATACAAGACCATGCTGGGGGCAGGTGTTCAAAACCAACAGGTAAGGAAAAACAAATCTAGACCAGGCCAGGAAGGCCCTGTGAATGAGTCCCTGAAGTTCACAGCAATAATATCTGACCCGTGTATCTTTGGATCATGGATATATGAATAAAAATCTAAGTTAGAGACGAGCCCACAGAGGTGTCATTAGGAGGTTTGCTGCATGATCTGAATTCATGGCAGAGTATCCAGGCATCTTTCCAATGGGTTGTGATCACAGATCCTGTGTCTGCTTTTCTTTGCATTTCAGAGGCACATGGAGTCCATTACACTCCACCCAGCAAAAGGGCCCCAGGTCTAAGAACCTCCTGTTCCTCCAGGAAGGACCATGAGTCTCAAGCCCTATGGACTGAAGAAATCTCCTCCTTAGCCAGGGTCCAGGCAGGAGGCCTCGTCTAGACACCAGCCCATAGTCTAGAACTCAGCTCTTCCACTTCCCAGCTGTATGACTTAGGGCCACGTTACTCAGCTCCTTAGCTGTAAAATGGGAGCAATAACAGTACCTACTTCTTAGGGTCCTTCCGGAGATGAACCGATCCGCTGGAAGCACTGAGCCTGGCACTCAGCGTTTCTCATTCACAATGAGAAATGGTGGTAGCCGTGGGTTATTATTTCTAGCTACATGGGGTGGGAGAGGCTGCCCAGCCCATCTGGCAATGTGGCTTCCTCCCCCTCAGCAATGCCCCAAACTCTCCTAAGCATGTGAGCGCGTTGGCCACTTTCCCCAGGATCTCTGTGTACTGCCTGTGGAACACAAGCCGCCTTCCCGACCACCTGTCTGGTGCACATCTGGGGTAAGAAAGCATTCCAAAGCCCTGAATCCTCTCTACGGAATTGCCTAAGCTCATTGCCTGAAGGCTATCTCTCATATTTTCTCTTTTATCCATCATTGACTTATAATTTCATCGCTAACCCTAAAAATTCACTGGGGCTTGCAAAAAAGGGATTTTGGGGGCACCATTATCTTTTTGTGAACTTCAAACAGACTGCGTCAACTCTTCTCCTTGCCTGCAAACTTTAGAGTCTAATTCCTTCCGACTGGCACTTGCTCTGGGCCCTTTGTGGGCCTCTGATCATTTCCACCACTTTTCCCCAGACCTGCAGTATTTCTGCTGGGTCTCGGCCACAGGCATTCAACAAGCAATCAAATGATGTAGGACACTTGATAACAATTTGTAACTGCAGCCACACCACACGTTCGCAAGTCATTGTTGGGAAAGAAAACTCTTTCCGAGATGAGTCAGTTGGCAGCTTAGCATGGAGCTAAGGTAAGTGTCTGAGTCCAGTTTACTCAAAGGGGAGGAGGAGCTGTTGTTTTCAAAGCACGCTAATCAGAAAACCTGGAATTTAATCTGCTTCCTGCAGGAAAAGCTCTATGGACTAAAACGGGAAATAAAATGCAAAGGTATTTAATGAGATAAAGAGGTTCTGACTGTTATTTCAGTTCTCATCCCCTGCTGGTTCTCTACACGCCCAACAAAGGGGCGCAGTCTCTGATTTTTTATAGAGAACGCTTGTTCATTCTGGAAATTTTAAGGGAAAAGAGCTGACATTTATTGAAAGCCACACGCATTGTCTCTTTTAATCCATTGTGACCGTCCTCAAATCAGAGGGAGACTTTTACTCTGTTTGCCGTGGAGGAAACTGAGGCTCAGAGAGCTTATGTTACCCGCCCGACATTCTGCAACTGGAATGCGGCAAAGCTGAGATGCAAAGCTGGCTCCAAAACCCACACTCTGTCTCCAGCCACACCCGGTCTGGACTCCAAGACGCTCCCATTCTGTGGAGGGCCCTCTCAGGCACTCAGAGATCCGGCTAACACTCTTGGAGCACAACAGCACAAAGCAGGAGCCAACATCTCCACAATTCATCTGCTCCCAAATGCCTCACATCCCCCACGAGAGACCCTGTGATGATGCTTCTCTCTCCTGCCCGCCGCGACCTCCCTTGGGCCCCGCTCCCATTTCTGCCCCAGCCACTGCAGTCGCGGTCACTGGGCAAAGGGAGAGAAAGTACTCCCCATAGAGCTTCTCTCCAAATCTAATCCATCTAAGTAAACCTGAGGACAAGGATCACTGGCAGCCAGCAGGATTCTCCCCTGAGGCCAAAGCATGGGGATTCTTACCCTGGTGTTGCCCAAAATGGCTGGAAAACTGGGTATGTGTGTCAGCCTGTCCAGAGGGAGAGTTTGAGTTTTCAACGGCTTCTCAAAGGGGTCTCTGAGACCCGTGTCGGATCCCGACCCACGGCCTTAGCAGAGTTGCTCAGCCCAGTCCCCTTTGTTGGAAGACCTTCGTGGCGACTCTGCTCCAACAGGGCTCAAATCAGTTGCATGGCTTCATACAATGATACAGGCAATCATTCAACGATACAGGCCTGCGTCAGCTCTTGTGGTCAAGACATATTCAACTTGGCAACATGAGCCTTCCACAACTCGAAGTTCTGCTCCCTCCTGGCCCAGCTGGTCTGGTCCTCCAAATACCCTCAGTCTCTCAACTAAAGACAGTTGAAAAGAGCACTTACCCCGAAGGCTGCCTTTCCCGCCAGAACCATTACCAGCAGAACGTGGAGATCGGGCATTCTGGCAAACATCTTGTCGTTTAAGGACTCTTGTTTTGCTCTAAATACAATTTCTTTTGTTGTCTATGTCTTTGGGGGGGGAAATGTCAGTCTCCAAGGATTCGGGAACAAATGAAGAGGATGCAAATTATTAACTAGGCATCAAATACTGTTTAATGTTTAATGTTTTGCAAACCAACTATCTTGATTAAACAAATGGTAACTTTGGGGCTGGCTGAGTCACGGGGTGGTTCCTTTTCTAGGAAGAAAGTCTCCAAAGAAAGGAAGACCCCCCGGGCTCCCGGGTGCACCCGGGGGCTGCCGAATGTTCAGTGCAGAAGACCCGATGGTTAACTAGTGTCCCTGCCACAGGAGGAAAGCTCCATCAGGTGAGGCCTCTGCCACAGGCCATTGCCATGCTGATTAGGACAGAGTGGTGATAGAGTTCTGATTCATCAAATCTCAAACAGAATTAAGGCACGGATGGGCTTCTGCTAACATCACACTTTATATTCATGAAAGATAAATTAAAGGATGCAAAACTGCTATTGACAAACATTGATTCTGGGCCCTTTGAAGCGTTGCCCATGGTTCCTTGTCGGCTTCAAAAGTTTTCTTTTAAATTTCATTACGTAAGTTCTTTATTTTTTAATCATTTTTTTTCCTTTTCACTGGAGTCTCTCTTTGATCAAGAGGGGGAAAAATGTGATGCTCATATTTGGGGCCGGTTGTTTCTCACGTTCCTTATTTAGCTACCCTGGTTGCAGGGAGGGCTACATCAAGCGACGGTTACCTAGCACGTGTGGGTTCTCGTGGACATAATTGATCTCTTTCATAGGCATCATCCTGAGCACTGTAAACAGCTGACTGCCCACGGTAATCTATGCACGGGCTCCAGGAATCCGCCCGCCTGAGTCCTAACTCCAGGTGCTGACACCCTGCTGCCGACTGAGGCGGGTGCTCACCTGGGCCTTCTGCTCGCCCATCTGCCATCCGTATTTGTCACACACACTCCGACTGCTCAGGGGCTGCTTCCATTTATGGCAGCCAGGTGGCTAGCCATGGAGGCCCCCACAGGTACCAGCCCAGGAGAAGGCCAAAGTCAATGCCCCAGCCACAAGATGACCCTTGAAGGACAAACCACATCCTGACATTTTATCTCCTAAATAATTCCCAATTTTTTTGCTTTTCTCCACTTACTTTGTCCCCACCCTGTTTCAGGCAGCCATCAAGTCACCCCTGGTCAACATCCACCTGACCCTATAACACATGGACACGCTAGTCCACCTTTCTGGGACTAATATAGAGACTAGTGCTCTTCTCTAACCTCATCCTACCCTCCCCATAATATTCACTCCACCTCTTACTCTGTTCTTAACTCTAACCCTGTTCACTCTTTAGCAAGTTCCTTAACTCACCTAGTTCATGCATCGTTCAGATCTCAGCCCAAACATTATTTGTAAACAGTATTTGTAAAATTTCAAATACACTTCAATTTATTCATGAACATTATATTAATATGCATCACATATTCACCGATGGTCTGCTGTGAGCCGGGCGTTGGCAATGCAGGGGTGGAGGAGGCAGACACGAACTTCGCTCTTAAGGAGGACGCATCCTGGTTGGGGGGAGATAGGCGGACACTGAAAAAGTAAGCAAGTTAATTTTAGTTAGTGATAAGTGTGAAACAGAATGAAACAAATAATGGAACAGAAATCTTGGTGGGTGAGAGGTTTCCATAGACTGAGAGGTGGCCCTGGGAGTGATGGTGGCTGGGTGGCTAGTCAGTGTGGTGCTGAGGACACTGTTGATGGTTGTCTGATCACAGAGCAAGGGCTGAAGACGAGGAATTTGCTGTTTTCCCGATTCAAAGCTGGAGGCTTTGGAGCATCTGCATAGACAGTGAAAAGTAGAAGTGAAAATTGCAGGCAAGTCACATCACTGAACCACTCACGTGACCTCGGCATCTCTTTTCCCCTCCACGGCCTTGTGTGAACTCGTGAGATTCCCAGAAAACAAACCGGAAGCTTTTCTTCCTGTGTCAACAGGAAGTGACCCCAGCGAGTTGGCTGTTCATCTTTTCAAACCAGATGAATTTCCCTGACATGTAATCTTCCTTTTATCACAAGCAAAAAGTGAACGATTTTGCTCTTTGTGTAATAACCACAGGCGTCCTACATATTGTCTCTCATTTCCCTAATGTTTTGTCATCACTGCAATGTGAAATTGAATAAATTTCTGCACGTAGCCTAAAGGAGAGAATGCTCTAAAAGATGCTAATCCTTTTAATTTAGGAGGACAATAGGGCTGGCTTATCACGTCATATGTCTTTATCTGGGGAGTTGGAACCTGGGATCTCTGATTTTCAAATTCAAATACAAGCCTGTTGCTCTCATCCCGGTGGGGGGTTCAGATGTTATCGTCAGTCTATTGTCTCCCAGTTCTGAGTGATGTTTTCTCATCAGTTGGGTTACATGCCACTGGGGAGAGCCCCTGTCCTGCCTCCGGTGGCTTGGGACTCTGGTCCCCTAGCGGGCTGATTCTTTCTCACACTGCTCTTGCCAGAGCTTTGATGTACCGGGTTAGGGCCTGAACCAGCCTGTTTCGTGTTTGTTTGTATTCCTCGGGTAATAAGGTCTTCTTCCCTCTAGGTCTTCACTATCAGGAGGCAGCAGAGACAGGTGTCTAAGAGCAGCAGCTTGGACTCAAAACAGACCTGGAGTGAACTCCAGCTCTGCCATATGCCTGCTGTGTGACTTTGGGCCAGTCATTTACTCTCTCTGGGCCTCAGTTTCCTCATCGGTAAAACAGGGATAATATAGTTTCCACTTCACGGCGTTACGGAGAGGTGTACGTGAGAGCGTGAACATAAGGTGCTCAGTGCAGCAGCTGGCATAGAGAAGAACTTTGCAAAACCCACTGGCCTTGGCATCAGTAAAGTCTTCTCATCGAATGGTTCTTGCTGAGCCCCTAGGCCCTCAGAGCTGAAAGCGACTTGAGCCCGGTGAGTCCAATGTCCAACCCAGAGAAGGAATGAACACCTTCCTGGGGGAAGCCTTCTTTCATTTGTTCTCTCTAGAATAGAGGTCAGCAAAGTTTTTCTGAAAGGGCCAGACAATAAAAATTTTAGTTTTTTTTCTGGCCATACAGTTTCTGTGGCAACTACTCAACCCTGCTGTTTTAACACAAAAGCAACCACAGGCAATATTTATACCAATGGGTGTTTGTACATATTGTATGATGTGCACATATGTGCTTTGTAACATACTGGCTCTGTCCCACCGAAATCGAATTTAGAAAAATAGGGCCACAGTTTGCGGATCACTGTTCTAGGAGAAAGCAACGCAGATGCAGCCAAAGCATTGCACAACTTGAGGAGCCCTGGAGAACAGGGAGACAGGCAGGAAAACATGGAGGGGGTCTGGACTGATGCGACACTGCCACCCTCAGAGTGTTTGTCTGGAAATTATGTCCCCCCAACCCCAGAATCATCAGAACCTCTTTGTGGGGTGGGGGACTAAAGCTCATTTGTCATTCATTCCACAAGTATTTATTGAGCACCTACTGTGTGCCAGACAGTGCTGTAGAGAATAAAGAAGACAGACCAGGTGCCAGCCTTGTGGACTTACGGTCTCCGGACAATCCTCACTCATGGTCACGTGACTGGTCTTTGGTTAAATTCTTAAAGTCATCCCTAATCAGAGAAGACCTCCTGCGGGAAGCGTCATTTCTCCTTCCTGGTGTTCCCAGAGGCCCCTGCCTGATCCATTAACTTCTAGGGGGAAAGGAGCTGGGGAGATGCCTTGTTAACTTGGCATGGGGCAGGTGACCTTTCCCACTCTGCCCCGAGCCCCCAGTGTGGTTCAGTGTGTTCATATTCTCTGTAAGCTCGTTGGTACTGCACATCCCATTCTCCGACCTGGAAGATACTGGGATGCCCCCGAGGATTGTGAAAGGAAGGCAGCATTTATGGAGCAGCTTCTATGTTCCAGGTGCTTTTATGATCCTGAGAAGCTATAGTCTTTATAACTAGCCTGCAAGGTGATTTGACCCATTTCACAGTTAAAGAAACCCAGGCTCAGAGACATTAAATAAGTTGCCCAAGGTCACATAGCCTGAGACAGGGCCAGGATTTGAAGTCTGACTTCAAGTCAAGTGCTCTTCTCATTCTACTGCATGGACTCTAGGATCTTGGGGTAATGGTTTTACCATTTACCCCAAGCCCCCCAGGAAGTTACTGAAGAAAACAGATGTCTAATAGCAAAGATTGCCCATCGCCTGGCCAATTTCTGTGTTGTCTTTGTCCTTACTATTACTTATTAGGGTGGCAATGTGCCCAGTGTTTAGTAAAGAAATCATGTCTTCCAGCAAGAGCAGCCACTATTTTTTTAGGCTGGGTTTCCCAGGAAACAGATAGAGGTGTTGAGATTTGTGGGCAGGAAGCTTAGAGGGGAGAGCTCTTAGGATCAATACCCATGGGGGAGTGAGGGAAGCAGGACTGGACAACGGGAGAAGCTGGGCTGCAATGCAGTCACAACAGAGGCCCATCCCACAGAGAATTCCAGAGCTGGGAAGCCCCTCAGTGTTGTCCTGACAAGAGCCAAGGGAGCTGGGCCTTTGTACTAGGATCATCATGTCATTGGATATGGGCTATCCCAGTGGAAGGGGCATGACTTTGGACAAGGCAACTCTGGTTAAGTGTTAATTTTCAGAGAGGCACTCAGCTGAGAACCTGCAGTAGCCACCACCTGGCAGCTGAGAGAAAAAGAGCCTCATTTGAGAAGAGGAGACCTGGTGGCACACTATAGCATCTGCCACAACTATTAAATGGAAATTTATTCCACACCCCTTAGTTCAAATATCCAACTCAGGAAACCTGAATGGCTCAGCCAAGTTTTGGATGAGCATCCCCAGTCTATCCTTGGTCCAATCAGAGACGGCTGGAGTGACAAACATGGCCAGGCTGAACCGGGTCCATGAGGCAGATGACGACACATGTTGAATTGGGGTAATCAATATCAAGGAGAAAACCAGAATGCCATTATGGAAACCATGAACTCTATGCAGTTATTAAGCTGAGCTACAGATTTATAGCTAAGCTCCCTGTTGGCCAAAGGAAA